ATATTAGCCCTTTGTCAGATGGGTAGATTGCAAAAACTTCTTCCCATTCTGTTGGTTGCCGATTCACTCTAATGATTGTTTCTTTTGCTGTGCAGAAGCTCTGGAGTTTAATTAGGTCCCATTTGTCTATTTTGGCTTTTGTCACAATGCCCTTTTTTTTTTTCTTTTTTCTTTTTTTGTCTTTTTCATAGATGCCCTTCCCAGCGAGTAGGAATCTAGAGAGGGAGTCTGGCCACAGTGGCCTTACTGAGCTGTGGTGGCCTCTACCCGGTTCAACCTACTGGGTGGCTTTGTTTACACTGTAAGGGTAAAACTGCCTACTCAAGCCTCAGCAGTAGTTGACATCCCTCCCCCTACCAATTCGAGTATCCCCAGACAACCTCAGACTGCTGTGGTGGCAGCGAAAATTTTAATCCACTGGATCTTAGCTTGCTGGGCTCCATGGGGTAGGGTCCACTGAGGCAGACCACTTGGCTCCCTTACTTCACCCCCCTTTCTAGGGGAGTGAACAGTTCCGTCTTGCTGGCGTTCTAGGCACCACTGGGATATGAAAAAAAAAAAAAAAAACTCTTGCAGCTAGCTCAGTGTCTGCCCAAATGGCCACCCAGTTTTGTGCTTGAAACCCAGGGCCCTGGTGGGGTAGGCACCAGAGGGAATCTCATGGTCTGCAGGTTGTGAAGGGAGTCTGCAGTGTGCATGGAAGAAGTGTAGTATCTGGGCCAGAGTGCACCATTCCTAACAGCAGAATCCCTCACGGCTTAGTCCCTCATGGTTTCGCTTGGCTAGGAGAGGGAACTTCCTGACCCCTTGCACTTCCTGGGTGAGACAACATCCCACCCTTCTTCATCTCACCCTCATGGGTTGCACCCACTGTCCAACCAGTCCCAGTGAGATGAACTGAGTACCTCAGTAGGAAATGCAGAAATCACCCGCCTTCGGCCTTGATCATGCTGGGAGCTGCAGACTAGAGCTTTTCCTGTTCCGCCATCTTGCCAGCAATCCCAACTTCTTTAAAAGTCTGTGTTTTTAATCATTCTTGGCCTATAACGTGAATTTGTTGACAACATTAGGAAAGTTTTTTGAAATCACTTTGAGTTAAACTTGTCAGAGAATCTTGAACCTAAGTCTGATTATTCTGTTAGTAATTTAAAATACTTTAATGCTTAGAAATTATTGAACTGATGAATAAATGGTCTATCTTCAAAAGAAGTGAATCAGTCATTAAATTGGATATAAGTGAAACTTTTAAAGATTTCTAACCTTGTGTAGGATGAAAGAGTAAAACAGTTGTTTGGCATGAATTACCTTACAACATATGTAAAATGTAATTTCTCAATTCAATTTAATATTTTCTTAGTACTATGACTTTATATTAGTCAGAGTTCAGGTTAAAATAATGAAATTAGTTTGTATGAATACTGCTTATTTTTTATTTTACTGTCTTGCTTAGGTTAAAGGCCCCGCTTGTACTAAAATATTTGTAGAAGGCTATGGAAAGAGATTCCTGTTTGTAGAACACATTTTTTGTAGAGAAAATTTTCTCCTGATAATTGGTTATTCTTTTTCCCAGATTCCACCTGCTAAGAACAAATTAGTCCATTGTGTCATTCTGATTTCTAAGACATCAAAACCAAATTCACAGTTATAAACCTTGTTTGCTATCTAGTCCGTTGGATACTGTGTTGACAATTAAGTTGGACTTAAATAGCCTTAAATTGCTCTGTGGAAATGACATATCTGTGGTTCCATATTAGACTGGAACATATTACTATGAAAATTGTAGCGAATTCTAACTAAAGTAGAGAAGAATAGGAAATGCCTCTTGAAACCGAGGTTCAGTCTAGCAGGCATTTGCTGACATTTCATAGGAGCCAGGTCCTGGTTAGGCATTGTGGATATAAATATTGATGAGTCAAGGTTTCTGGGGGAGTTTTACAGCATCAGAGAGAAAGTTCCTAAAGTAACTTTAATGCAAACCAAAATGCTATTAGGAATGAAAAGTGTCGCAGGATAACAGTAAGAGAAGAGAGAAGACCTTTTCGAGAAAGCTGACTTGAGTTAAGCCTTGGTAAATGGGGGTATCCTCACCTAGTAAGAAGTTATGGGAGAATGATTTTAGTGAAACTTCCTCTTTCTTCTATAGTTGATAGAAGTATTACCAGTGTTACCTTCTGGTTTTGATATTTATACTGTGGTTATAGAAGATGTTACTATTAGTGGAAACTGAGTGAGAGATCAACGGAAACTTTGTGCTATCGGCTTTTTTTATTAAGATAAAACTCATATAACAAAACTGTTAAATTTATCATAGAATTCCTTGGCTTATAATTTATAAAGTGTATAATTTAGTGTCATTTAGTACATTTGCAATTTTGCACAACCCTCAGCTCTGTCTGGATCCCATACCTTTTTATCACTCCGAAGGGAACCCTGTATCCATTAAGTCAGCAGTCCCAAACCTTTTTGGCACCACAGATCAGTGTCGTGGAAGACAGTTTTTCCATGGACGGGGTCAGAGGCCAGGTGGTGGGGGTGGTTTCGGGATAAAATTGTTCCACCTCAGATCATCTGACATTAGATTGTCATGAGGAATGCACAACCTAGATCCCTTGCATGTGCAATTCACAATAGGCTTCACAGTTGTGTGAGAATCTAATGCTGGCGCTGACTTGATAGGCAGCAGAGCTCATGAGGTAATGCTCACTTGCTTGCCACTCATCTCCTGCTGTGTGGCCCGGTTACTAACAGGTCATGGACCTGTAGTGGTCCACAGCCCAAGGGTTAGGGACCCTGCATTAAACAATCACTCTTCCTTTTTTCTTTTTCTCAGCACCTAACAACCACAAATCTGCTTTCTGTCACTGTAGATTTAACTATTATGAATATTTCATGTTAAGTGGAATTCTCCAATATGTGACCTTTTGTTTCTGCCTTTTTTCACATAGTATGTTTTTAAGGATTGCCCATATTGTACTAGTCTGTGTTGTTGGTAATTTTTATGGCTTAATAAGTCTGTTGTATAGATATATGACATTTTGTCTGTCCATTTACCCACTGAGGGACATTTGTGTTATTTCCACTTGTGGGCTATTGTGAATAGCACTGCCAAGAGCATTTATTTTGCAAGTATTTGTTTGTTTACCTATTTTCAGTTATTTTGGATATATAGCTAAGTGTAGAAATGCAGGATCATATGCTAATTTTGTGTTTAACTTTTTGAAGAACTGCCAAAATGTTTTCCAGAGAGCCTTTTAGTTCTTTCATCCATTCTGAGTTTAATTTTGTATGTAGTGTGAAGTAGGGGCCTAAAAGAAAATTATTATTATTTTCCACAATATTAGAAAATCTTCTATGATATTAAATCATTTATTTTCTGATTCATTAAAAAAAGATTAAAGAAGATAAATATGACTGCTAAAATTATAAAACCCTTAGAAGAAGACAGATAAATCTTCATGACATTCATTAGGAAATGGATTCTTTGACATGGTACCAAAAGAACAAGCAAAAATATGAAAAACAGATAATTGAACTTAATTAAAATTAAGAAATTGTACTATCAAGAAAGCAAAATATGTCGAGGCACGATGGCTCACGCCTGTTATACCAGCACTTTGGGAGGCCGAGGTGGGTGAATTGCCTGATCTCAAGAGTTTAAAACCAGCCTGGCCAACAGGGTGGAACGCCGTCTCTACTAAAACAAAAAATTATCTGGGCATGGTGGTGCACGCCTATAATCCCAGCTACTCAGGTGGCTGAAGTAGGAGAATCACTTGAACCCAGGAGGCGGAGGCTGCAGTGAGGAGAGATCATGCCACTACCCTCCAGCCTGGGTGACAGAGTGAGACCCTGCCTCAAAAAATAAAAGTAAGTAAAAAGACAACCCACAGCCTAGGAGACAAGTCATATACTGGATAAAGGTCTAACGTTCAGATTATACAAAGAACTCTTAAAATGTACCAGCAGCAACTAAGGGCAGTAGTCTTGTAATCCCAGCCCTTTGAGAGGCCGAAAAGGGAGGATCCCTTTAAGCCAGGAGCTCAAGACCAACCTGGGCAACAAGGCAACACCTCGTCTCTAAAAATGGATGGATGGATGGATGGCAGTAAAACAATAAATAACACAATTTAAGAATGGAAAAATAATTTGAATAGACATTTCTCCAGAGAATATATACTAATGGCCTATAAACACAGCAAACATGTTTACCATCATTAGCTATCAGGAAAATACAAATCAAACCACGATGAAATACTATATCCTGCCCCCTAGGATAGCTGTAATAAAATAAACGGACAATAATAAGACAAGATATGGAGATACTGGAATACTCCTACATTACTGGGTGCAAATGTAAGATGGTAAAGTGGAAAACAGTTTAACAATTCCTCAAAAAGCTAAACATACACTTTATGACCCAACAATTCTTCTAGGTGTATACCAAAAAGAATTTAAAAATATGTCCGCATAAAAACTTGTACATGAATGTTTGTAGCAGCCCAAAAGTGGAAACAAGCCAAATCTTCAGATGATTGGATAAGCAAAATGTAAACTCATACAATGGAATATTATTCCACCATAAAAAGAACTGAGGCACTGATACATGTTTTAACATAGATGAACTCAAAAGCATTATTCGAACTGAATGAAGCCAAACACAAAAGACCACATAGTGTATGATTCCATTTATTTGAAATGTCCTGAATAGAGACAGAAAGCAGATTTGTGGTTGCCAGTTAGGGAAAATAGGGCATGATTGAGTACGTAATTTCTTTTTTGGTATGATGAAAATGCTTTGGAGTTAGATAGTAGTGACAGTTGTACACTATGAACATACTAGAAACCACTGAATGCACTTTAAGGGAATGAATTTTATGGTATGTTGAATATATCAATAAAAATAAATAAGTTTTAAAATGTTTTGCATGTAGAGATTTTTGTTTTAAAACAATTTTCATTTGATGTTTTCCTTAAGAAAATATTTTTATTTAATTTTTTAGAAATTTATCATGGCATCCAGCATTGACCACTACAAGTAAAATGCGAATTCCACATTCTCATGCATTTATTGATCTGACTGAAGATTTTACAGCAGGTGAGTTGCATTTAAATCTGGAATTGTTTTGAAATGCCAAAGAAGTATGGGATTTTATTTACTCTATACTTAGTATTCATTTGCTAATGAAGTAAATGTTGAAATTATGTTAAAAGGATGTTAGAAAGTCGGTGATATGGAAACATGGAAAAAGTACTGACTGTATTAAGTCTTTAGCTATTGTCATTTTTGTTGTTTGTTAATAACTGCCTCAGAATTTGAATTCTCCACTTTTTATGAATTCATGATAATTTCAGCACGTTTCCTGCCATTTCTTTACCTTATTATTAAACTTTTTAAAAAATAATATATGCTACAAAATTAATGATAACAAAAATCTTTAGCTTATGGACAAGAAGACTTTCAGAAGCTTTTAAAACTTGTTACTCTGGAAAATTTTAAACAGAAAATTGGACAGAATAGTATATGCAAGTTTAACCATCACCAAGCTTCCACAATTATTATTTTTCTTTTTTTTATTTTATTTTTTTCCCATTTATTTATTTTATTGCATTTTAGGTTTTGGGGTACATGTGAAGAACATGCAAGATTGTTGCATAGGTACACATGTGGCAGTGTGATTTGCTGCCTTCCTCCCCATCACCTACATCTGGCATCTCTCCCCCTGCCATCTCACCCCAGCTCCCCACCCGCCACCATCCCTCCCCATTTCCCCCCAACTGACCCCAGTGTGTAGTGTACCCCTTCCTGTGTCCATGTGTTCTCATTGTTCAACACCTGCCTATGAGTGAGAACATGCGGTGTTTGATCTTCTGCTCTTCTATCAGTTTGCTGAGAATGATGGTTTCCAGGTTCATCCATGTCCCTACAAAGGACACAAACTCATCATTTTTTAATGGCTGCATAATATTCCATGGTGTATATATGCCACATTTTCCCTGTCCAGTCTATCATCGATGGGCATTTGGGTTGGTTCCAGGTCTTTGCTATTGTAAAAAGTGCTGCAATGAACATTCATGTGTACGTGTCCTTTTAGTAGAACTATTTATAATCCTTTGGATATATACCCAGCAATGGGATTGCTGGGTCAAATGGAATTTCTATTTCTAGGTCCTTGAGGAATCGCCACACTGTCTTCCACAATGGTTGAACTAATTTACACTCCCACCAACAGTGTAAAAGTGTTCCTGTTTCTCCACATCCTCTCCAGCATCTGTTGTCTCCAGATTTTTTAATGATCGCCATTCTAACTGGCGTGAGATGGTATCTCAATGTTGTTTTGATTTGCATTTCTCTGATGACCAGTGAAGATGAGCACTTTTTCATATGTTTGTTGGCCTCATGTCTGTCTTCTTTTGTAAAGTATCTGTTCATATCCTTTGCCCACTTTTGAATGGGCTTGTTAGTTTTTTTCTTGTAAATCTGTTTTAGTTCTTTGTAAATTCTGGATATCAGCCCTTTGTCAGATGAGTAAACTGCAGAAATTTTTTCCCATTCTGTTGGTTGCCGATTCACTCTAATGACTGTTTCTTTTGCTGTGCAGAAGCTGTGGAGTTTGATTAGGTCCCATTTGTCTATTTTGGCTTTTGTTGTCAATGCTTTTGGTGTTTTGGCCATGAAGTCCTTGCCTACACCTATGTCCTGAATGGTTTTGCCTAGATTTTCTTCTAGGGTTTTTATGGTGTTAGGTCTTATGTTTAAGTCTTTAATCCATCTGGAGTTAATTTTAGTGTAAGGTGTCAGGAAGGGGTCCAGTTTCTGCTTCCTGCACATGGCTAGCCAGTTTTCCCGACACCATTTATTAAACAGGGAATCCTTTCCCCATTGCTTTTGTCTGGTTTGTCAAAGATCAGATGGTTGTAGATATGTTGCGTTGCCTCTGAGACCTCTGTTCTGTTCCATTGGTCTATATCTCTGTTTTGGTACCAGTACCATGCTGTTTTGATTACTGTAGCCTTGTAGTATAGTTTGAAGTCCGGTAGTGTGATGCCTTCCACTTTGTTCTTTTTGCTTAAAATTGACTTGGCTATGCGGGCTTTAACAATTATTATATGGCCCAATCTTGTTTCCCCTGTAAACGTACCTACAAGTTCCTCCTACCCAAGATAATGTTAAATTAAATCCCAAACATATAATTTCATTTTTAAATATTTTCATCTGCATCTCAAATTGCAAGGAGTTTTTCATTTAAAACTGCCAGATCATTTTGAAACCTAAAAAAATTAAACAGTAATTCCTTTTTTTGAGAGTCTCACTCTGTTACTCAGACTAGAGCACAGTGGTGCATGTGATCACAGCTCACTACAACCTCTGCCTTCCAGGCTTAAGCTATCCTCCCACCTCAGACTCCAGAGTAGCTAGGACTACAAGCATGTGCCATTATGCCCAGTTAATTTTTGCATCTTTTGTAGAGATGTAGTTTCCCCATGTTGCCCTGGCTGGTCTGGAACTCTGGCTCAAGCAGTCTGCCCACCATGGCTTCCCAAAATGGTGGGATTACACACATGAGCCACCACACCCAATCAACAGTTTCTTAATATCATTGAATATCTAGTCATTATTTAAAATGCCCAAATTTTCTCCTACATGTTTTTATCAAATCAGGAGTTTAACAAGGTTCATACAGAAGTAGAGAAAATGTCTGTGCTGTACATATCTGTGCTATACAGTTGTGTGTATTTTTCAGATTGTATCCCAATGGAGTTAACATGTTACATATTACTATGCTCCTATATTTCCTCTAACCCAACAGTTAGATTTGGAGCCTTGATGAGAATCAGAATTCCTTTTTTTTTTTTTTT